TGCCATGTCTGGCAATTTTTGTGTTGGGCACCTTGGGAAGCAAGGCGATCACAACGTTATGGTATGTTCAAAGGTTTGCTAAGTCTTCAGGTTTCTGGCAGAACGCGACAGTGTCCCCAGAAGGGCACAGCAGAAAGCTAGCCGGGTGCACGGGGTGCAGATTACTCGATTGAAACACCCCATTCCCCATGTCATCATTTTGCATTTGGTGTTTAGGCAAAGCTCACAGCAAAAGGGGTATTCTCAGCCTAAGGAGACTGTTTTTCAAGGTGTGCAGTTCACACAGATTTTTCAGGGGGTTGTAAAGCTGTAGCCTGGAAATTTTAACTACAGAACAGAGCGGATGTGTATAGCAAGAGACCAGAGCAGGAGGAAGGAGAAGTGAAGTATCTACTCTCCTTCACACAGACGCGCTGCTGCATGGTGCTCTGGTGCCCAGCTCATTCCAGCGAGTGTGGTGTCAAGTCCTTGCAAGGAAGAATTCCACTTTGGGGAAGGAGAGCTTTTAGCTCTGTGCCCCTGTCTCCCTCCCAGAAATAGGCAGATCGAAGAACTGCCAAGGGCATGCAAGCCTTGGGGTAGCCTGGAGGGTGAAGCAGCCCAGCTCACAAGCTAGCGCTGGTGCTCAGACAGATAAGGAAGACGGTGATTAGTAAATATAATCTAAATTTATATCTATCTTCTTGCCTTGTGCTTTTGTTTTTTAAACTGTTTCCACTATTGCAAATGAACATTTTAACCCTTACCTTGACTGAATGAAGTAAATCTATTCAATCCTGTTTGCAAATGGATTATATGATTATTTCAGGGTGGTCTGGCAAACACTGGATGCTACAGTTTTGCAGGAATGGTGGTTGTAAAGAGGATTGCATGCAGAATGTTATCTATCTGCAACGAGAATAGGAGTTTCCAGGGGCAAAGGCTTGTCTATAGGCTGATCATTCCGGACCTCAGGTTTGTGAAAGAGTCTCCTGTGACCAGTGTTAGCCAGAGCCTGTTTGCAAGCACTGGAAAGAGGGAGAGGACCTGAGACTGAACTTGTCATGTTGATAAAAATACAACTGCGCTTTACAAAGAAATGAGATTGACTTTAATTCTTTAATAGCTCTAGAGTAAATCAATGGGATTTATGTTCCTACGTCACTTAGGGCCAGGTGCTGAAAGGCAAGCATCTAAGAGCCGCTGTAGAATTTAGTAGCTGAAGGTAGGCATTAATCTTACCTCATAGGTGTGTTTTACAATCACTGGTATAGCAAGTAGACAGTCTTAGTGTTGTAAGCTCCCTCAAAGGTCGGGCGCTTTCTCTGTGGCTGCTAGTTGCAAGTTCACGCGACTAATGGAGGTCACTTGAAGACACTTCTTCCGTGCAGCCTCCTACATTATTAGTTCTTAAATGTGCAGCTAGATGGCAATGTCTCCTCCTCATCTTGAGGTATGCTGGGGTCTTAGGATGTTCGCCCTGGTTAGCCTGTTTTACTACCCCTGTTTTGAGGATGCCCATATCCACAGAAATCATGTGTCTTGGTCTTTGCCAACTATCTAGCAAACCCTCTAGCACAAGCCAGGTTAAGATAAGATCAGATGAAAACAGGTTTTTAAAAGTCCCAAAATAGACTACATGGTTATAGAGGTTTATAAAGATACCAATGATAGAAATGGAAGAAAATCTAGTTTTGTTTCTTTAATCCAAAATGCCTTTTCCTCCGTCCAGTTTTGCAGTTGATAAGCTGACAACGGTTACCTGATGCAGGTGGTCAGAGATGGGGTCCCTGTGCTCCCAGGAGGCAAGGACATTAGAGAAGCAGAGGTTCATGGAGGCTGCTGATTTTTATACCTCATCTGTTCCTTGGGGCCTCCCTGGAGTTGGGGCCTCCCTCCTGCTTCGCAAACATAATGTCCTTTCGATGTGGCTTAGTCAGGTTATTGCCTGCCTAGATGAGGAACGGTCGTCTGAAAACTCCGAAACTTAAACTGGTCAGTAATAGAGCTATTTTTATGTGCGGTAGCCAAACTCTATCTTTGTAAGATGCTTCACAGACAAAACCTTGCTGAGCTTTTGGGCTACATTCTGGACTGCTGTGTTAGAGTTCACGCACCCATATCCTGCTGAGGTCCAAATCTATGCAAATACATGACTTTGCAGCTGTGGGCCCCCCTGGTTAATTTTATCTCAGCCACCATGAGTAGCCCCTAATATAGCTGGTTACAGGAGCTTATCCTGTTCCCAAGCTAGAGTTCCCGACCCTGGATGGGGCTGACAGTTGCAGGTGGCGTTGCAAGCCTGACAGAGATTCGGTTTTGTCTGATGCTTATGTAAATATGTGGGTTGCACAATGCTAGCATGTGGGGTTGAACAAATGGGCAGCCAGAAAAAACTAACAACTGCTAGGAAAGAGATCCTTGCAAAATTCTTGTAAACGTATATTAATCGTTTCTTGCTTCTATTCAAAAGCACAAAAATTCCAGGGGTGCTCTTTTCGGTTTGGTAAGAATGCAGGACCTATGGAGAAATGGGAACCAAACTTTCAGTATCTCATAACAAGTTATTTCTTGCTCTTTCTGAAAACGAGCTTTGAAATTCAGTTTCTCCAGTCAGCATCCAAAGTAATTCTTCTTGTTGGTCTGAAGTAACAAAGATATAAATCAAACACCAGCCTCAGATTTCAATTCATGAGAATACCATTATTTTCAAATACTCAGTCATTAAAACATTGTCTCATATATACATGTCATCTTTTTCTCCTCATAGAAATTGATTAAACTGAGCATATTTTAAAGTGCCATACTTGCATTCGATTCATATTTTAACCTAAGACTCGCTCTGATACCCGAGACATCCTCTTTTATAATGGACAATATTGGTACAGTTAGTACCTTGGCTCATTTTACTTTTTCAGTATGATTTTCTCTTTGTCTGTTCAAAATGATTCTGTTCACTTGGTCAATAGTCAACATAAAGAGTAGTGTATCACATCCTGACTTTCATTGATTGGTGTCAATAAAGCTGCAATTCTTTAAAATGACGGATAGATCATGGTTTGACTTTTCTTGAGAAATCATTTATCTGTAGCTATATTCCTCTGATTTTTAGCTTCATTTTTAGGGTTTTACCACAAATAACATTTTAAAGTCTGTGATTTAACTAGTAAAATGTGTGAATATGTTAGATGTAGTGATGGATGAGTCTGAGAGGTACTCGTTTGTTTTTGACTAATCAAAGATTGTAATCCAATTTTTATTTGCCAGTAGTACGAAAGCAAAAGATGAAGATTTTAGCAAAGCTGAGGAAAAACATATTTATACTATTAAGCCTATTCTATCAACTAGCATTCTTCCACTTGCATTCGCTTCTTTGACATCGCTGTTCAAAGTCTCATGGGTTTCTATGTTCTTCCTTACACCTTACAAATCTACTGTCCTTTCGATACTACAATGTTACAGATGTTAATGATCTTTTATGTTTAGTGTAGTGCTTCTCTAAGAGTGAGCATCACTTACATTTCTGAATAAAAGCATATGAGGTTCTTTGCTATTACTGTGCAAGGAAAGACCGAAGGGGGATCCGTTGCCGCTTGTGGCTCTGCGCAGCTGTTGCTTTGTTTGTGTGCTGGAAGGAGAGGGCGGCTGCTTGGTAGCTTCCTGCGTTCTGCAGTGCAGGAGGGAAGAGAGGATGGAAAAACTGATACAGCGGCTGGAACTTTCCGACCGTGACACTTGCATAAGAACGGCTTGATTTTTCCAAGATACTGAACACACACAATTTGATTTGAATTCTCTGTAAGGAGGGAGTGCCACTGCCTCTGATAATCCCTCCGCTTCTGTGGATGTATTTAAATATGAATCTTGCAGCCTAGCTTTGGCACCAGCATTTTGCAAGCCTTCTTCCTTTGCTGTTCATGCTTACCTGCTAATAGTTTCAAGTGGGCTGCGACAGCTGTGGGAAGAGGGGATTGAATGAGGGAGAGCTGCCACTTTTCAGTGGAGAGTATTACTCTGCTTGAAGGAGAAGGCACATGTGGCCACATCTTTTGGTCTGATGCAGCCCCTGTGTGCCACTCTGGTAGGGAGCTGCTTTAGAGATTTTTGTAGCTGGCTTCCTGGAAGTAAGTTAAGCCGGTTTTATTATCTTTTTGTGCCCTGGGAAAACGAGAGCAGACTCTTACTAGGGGATGCACCTTTCCAGGGTAGGCCTCATGGCCTAGACTGTGTAACTGGTGAAAGCAGAGTGAAGTGGTGTAAATTAGAAGACCTCAGCTGGCAAAGTGGTTCTTGTAGATCAATACAACTTTACAGGAGTTTGGAAGATATGAGCTGAAGTATGAGATGCTGATGTCAATATGTTGGAGAAATACAATGCAATTCTATCTTGCTGAAGAAATGTTACTGGATGGAAATAATATCAGCCTCCTTCCTTCTGTGACCTTCTGGCTGAGTATCAGTTAAGAATTAAAGTATTAATCACCTTACATAGTTTGAATATTTTTCCAAGAAGCTTTATAAGCCTACTTTCCATAGTGCTATTACAGGAGTAATCACTCTTGTGATGCTGGGAACCAAGCCACAGGCTGTCCAGTAAAGATGATTTTACTGGCTAACTTCCTAACCCAAGCAGTTGCAGAACCAAATTTTGTACCCTCCTCAAACTTTCAAATAAAGACTTTTCCAGCTTATGGCAGCTAAAAAATAGTACAAACACGTCTGATATAAACTTGACTTTGAACTTCCCTTGTGCTTCAGTCGCTCAGGCACAGCAACCCTTTTGCATAGCTATTTGAAAGTTAAATTTGCCTGGGCATCACAGTGATGAACATGCACATTTATTGGGCAAGGAAGAAGCCCACAGCAGGATGGAGAGATTTTGCTCTTGAGCCTCTGCCTGCCTCCATCTGATTCAGTGATGCTCAATTACCGGGGTCTGCTGCTAGCGCATCTGCTGAGCTGCCTCCCTGTGCAGTTGCTGGCTTTCTACTGTGCAGCCTTGGAGCAAAGCCGTTATGGGAACAGCTATTTACAAGCTATCAAGCAAAATCAAGTTTCAGGTGAAGAAAACCCAAGCATCAGGTAGGGACTATTCACATAAAATGAATGTACTGGAGCCTTACAGTTCACCCTCATGAAGGCAGAGTATGAGTAGTTTTGATTTCATGTCATTTTAAAATTTACCGAGGTTTTTTTTTTTTTTTAATTACTCTAGTCAAGCCAATGTTGCAATAAAATCTGAAATAATAAGGTTTTAGAGTATATCTCAGTAGTTGACAACACAACTTTTAAAATATAGTATTTGCATGTTTCATAAATACAGGTATACTTTGTATGTACCAGTGATGCAGTAAATGTTGCGCATATTCTATATGCATCACTTTCGTAAATAACTTAAGTGTATAAGACAGTTTTAGAATAAGTAAAATAAACCTATTAGCATTTCTAAATGTCAGTGAATGCTTTTATCAACAGTCCCCAATACCCCAAAGCTTTAAATTTCAAAAGCCGGAATTCATTTCAGACCACATGAGAAAAGAACACCTGGTTCTGATGACTTTCCAAGCAATATGCCATCTACCAAAACAGCATTTGCAGAATAATAGGTAATTTTTGAACTCATGGCAATTTTGGGCTAGTTCCAGTAAGGAATCACCTAAAAAAGAGGATATTATTTTTAATTTGATGCTATCTACATGTTTGTGAAGCACCGCCACGAATGTAATAAAAGTTATTTTTAAAAAATACATAGATAAACAACTGTAATTATTAGTGTTCTAAATAAACTATTGGGTTTTTTTTGTTGTGTTCATTGAACTTATGTGCAGTATATTAAAATCTAGTTTATGATCAAAATTGTTAACTGGGGTTTCAGAGATGAAGCTTTTACATTTTTTGCAATTATGTCTCTAATAGCTGGGAGGAAATTATGGGCTTGTCTTACAAATGACATTATAGACAAACAAATTAAAATTAATATAAATGACAAAGAAAATAACATTGAGAGAAAATGTTTTCTAATTCAATTAGCAATCCTGTCTTTGTTTAACTAGCAGATTTTTCCTATTATTTTTTTAGGAAAATGAGTCTTTAGCATTGGTGCATGCTATGTTTAGATGTTCACATAACCATCCAAAAAAAGTTGTTGAACTAATGAAACCTGATTTCTTACAGATTTGTGGCTTTTGTCCCTTAAATCCTTCCCTTAGCTATCCCCGTTCCCTGTAACCTCCTCACAGGCCAGGAGATGACAGGTAGCAACTGGTTGTCCAGACACTGTCAAACAGTTGTATCATGACTGAGTTTTGCCTGCCTTTCCCTGAGTGTGAGGATTAGTGTGGGTCTCCCTCCCTTACCCAGGAGGTAATTTTCCTAAAACTGATATGATCTTAAATATCTCTTAGGTCATATTTGGTTGAAATTGGTGAACTCTTTCAGATTTGCAGGGGAAGGATGGAAAGGTAGACAAGTGATGCAATCTCTTAAATATTTTTGTAAGAAACCAAGAGAAAAAAACTATTAAAAGATAACTAAATTTGCCAAGTAAAGAACTCAGAAGTTAAGAAAAATTAAGAAATTCAGGTGTTACTTTCATTTGGCCTTCTTCTGCACATGTGTTACAATGTCATTTTTAATTATGTGTTCACATCCTGCTTTTCCCACGGAGCGTTGTGCCTCCTGCGGCATGCAGGACAGGCAGTGCTACCCTGCACGCTGACTGAATGAACAACAGGGCAGTATTTTGTTTAATGTTGTAGCGTACGGATAATGCTTTTCAACTTCATCTTACTAGGTGCCTTCCTAAATACGAAATTACTCTTTTCCCTCGAAGGCTTCACAAATAAGAGCGTCCTTTTTCTTCAAGAGCTCCTATGAGGTGAGCGAGCAGTCTGAAAGATAATCCCTGCGCTGTACACACACAACAGAGCCACAGAGGAGTCTAAGCTAGAAGCAGTCATTTATTTTGGGAGGCCAGTTTGAAAGAGCGAGGACCTGACTGCTCAGAGGAGGCAGCGAGGTGCAACAGGAGAGTGGTGGAGCGGTCGCTCCGCAGCTCGACATCTCGCAGCATGTGTGTTGTGCGGTGCGCCACATGCCATTCCACCCATGGTGGGAGGGAATTATAGCTATAGTAAGCCACCCCTCCCTGGAGAATTTGCAGCTGGGAATGCTCCATGTTTTCTGCAAATCAGATTAAGGCACCCAGTAGGTGAGACATTAGTCAGCAACTGCGAGCAGTTTGGCATGATGACTTGCCAATGACACACAAGAGTGAAGGAACAGCAACCCGGGCACCATTCAGCTGCCTTCATCATCCTTTTTTTTCCCCCGCAATCTTCTGCCTATTTTGCGTCATATTTTCCAAAGTCTGCATTATGTATAATAAAGGTTTTTGAGAGGTAGAGCCTTCTTCCTGTATCTAATCTTGATTTATACTACAGCAAGATTCTTCTTGCCCCATGCATAGCTGGTAGGTATTTGCTGATGTCCAAAGAAGAGTTTGACTTGGGATGTGATGTGATGAGACTGATATAGTCAGTCTGGTTTAAGTCTACTGGGTCAGAAATGTCACAGTTGTGTGGTACAGAGTGCTGATCCAGGATAGGCTCTCTCTGCTGGGTCACACGTTCAAAACATTTTAACAGGTTGGCTTTGTATTGGCAGGCTTTGTGCCAAATAAAATGTATTTCATGCTACATTAGTGTGAATCTAGCATAAATTCTGTATCAAGCACTCTGGCTCATTGAGCAGAAATGTGATTGTATGCTTACACCTGATCCACATCACGTTTTCACTTTTGGATGATCTGCCCATACAAGAATCTTACAGTAAAGATTGGAGGTCCAGTCCACAGCCAGGCAGAGCGCCATTGCAGGAGAAACTCTGCTCCCTGGCCTCAAAACACTGTGCTGAAAAGTATTCATCGTAAATGGGAACCTTGAAGAATTCATTCTTCAGGAACTGAAATGGGACTCTGAGCAAACATGTAGGGAACTGAGATTTTTCAAAGGCTGACAAAGGAACAAAAAGCACATCCAGAATTCAAACTTTTGCTCTAACCCAGGAAGGTGTACGGCTTTGTAACAAAAATGTATTTATGAGAATAGTTTAGTTTGGGAAAATCAAAGCATTTCCTCCTAAACTCATTCTTAGAAATGGCTGAGTTGTTTTAGCTAAATGTTCTAAACCAAACAGCCTGACAGTCCCCAGGATGGAAACTTCAAGTACAAGCGGTTACTCTTTGGCAAAACTACAAACAATTTAAAACAGAGTCTAAAAATAGAAAGTCACATTCAGTGCTAGACAAAAGTGGTGTAATGAACTCTACCGAACTTACGTAGGAAAACAGCAAGGCTTCAGAGGTAAATACAGGTTATTTCTACAAATACCATTAAGTGCTTCTTACATATGAAATCAGAAAATGGAAGTCATATGAATCATCTAATTTGGGAGTAGAGATGGGGTCATCTGTGTCTGATGTCATTAATTTGTGTTTCTAATAGTCATTCCTGTTGGTTTTTGCTAGCCAGAAAGTGAAATTTCTGAACTGTCCCTGAAGGTGGCTTTGTGGCTTAGCAGATTAATGATAACTTCAGATAAATTTCTCATTCAGTTTTCAGTATTCATGTGCATATTCTTAAGAGACCCTCAAGTTTAAAACACGTACAACCATGTAACAGTGATTGTACTTATGTAGAACTTTTTATCTGAAGAACAGAACTGTTGTGTCTCTTCCGGGAACGGTCCCTTTAGCGCGTACGTTACAATAGCGAATTAGTAGCATCCGGCACAGACTCTTTGCAAAAAGTTAGTACCGAGGCAGCTCTGATCTAACTGGAGAATTGCATCCTTGCGATTGTGTCAATGTGACACAGGAAGGTGTGACAGGCGCTGTCAGCTGTGCTCCAGCGATCCCACATCTGGGATAATTTGTAACTATTGTTATAGTTTGTAACCATTATTATCTGTATTACAGGCAGGGAGGTTCAATCAAGAGGTGGGAAATAGTTTCTCTGCGATCGCGCAGCAAATCGGCACGCGTCTCCCTCCTAAGGCTCTGCCTGCAGCAGCTCCTTTTCTAAACATTTCTTCCGCTTTCTTGTCTGTGTGCGTCTTGCAGATTGCAAGTATACCTGTCACGCTCACTGCCGGGATCTGGTGCACCTGGGCTGCCGGCGGAATGGGAAATTAATGGACTGCCTCGCTACGTGTCACCCCTTAGATCGATCTAACAACAACGGTCAGGTAAGAGATCTTGCATTTACGTAATTACCGCTTTCTCGTGTCAGCTGTATAACTAAGTGTGGTCTGCCTGCTTTGCCCAGCTGCTCGGGAATGATGTCTCACTTACCACTTGGCCAGCAAAACTCAATTTCCCACCTAACACTGTGGTTTACGGTATGGGTGGGTCAAGCTACAGCGGGCCGCTGCCAGCTGGGGCACTCCTGCCCCCATCAGTTTTCAGCTACACTAGCTGAAAAGCAATCCCACAAAAAAGTGAATATTTTTCCTGCTGGTCTGGCTTCCTGAACGAGGTCACTGTGGGGTGAGAGCAGCCGTGCATGGCCAGGGAGAGACGTGTGGCTGCAGCTCCCCATTCGATAGATTCAGCCATCAGGTAAAGCCGCTCATGGGGTGAACTGATGACCCAGATGTCCTGTGCTGCCAAATGTAGTACCCACTGGGGGGCAAATAAAACTGAGGTCTTGGCTATTTGTTGCTATTAAAGATCATACCAGTATTGTCTGAGTTTAGTGCTAATCCCCCAGTTCTCATCAAATCCTTTGCAGGATAATTTCAAATGTCCTTGCCTGGATTCCCCAGCAGCTCCAAGTGGTCACAGTGTGCCTCTTCTTTTCCTTCCTTAACCTTCTGTGTAGTGTCACTGCTTGCTTTTCAGCGCCAGGGCCCTTCCCCTGCCCTGCTTCGTTCAGAGACCAGGCCAAAGCAGCACATTTCTGCAGGCAGAAGTGCAGAAATCCTCTGAAAAGCAGAGCTGCTCCTGCAGCGATAATGAACCGTGTACGTCTTGAGTGCTTGCTAAAAGGAATTAGCTCACACCTTTTGCTTTTTCAACTACCTTTACTTTTGTCATCCATGAAAGTCCACTCAAACTTAGCCAGATTTCAACTCTATGAAAATTTACACCTGACCAGTAGAAGCTTCTGATAGGGCACAAAAAATTCCTCCATGTCCTTGCTGAGGGTGCCCCCAGCAGTGCAGAATTTGCTCTGCAATTGCAGCATTTATTTGCTGGGGGGAGGTGCTTGTTCCCGTCACCCAAAGTATGACTGAGGACACGTCTTGTCACCCAAAGTGTGACTGAGGACACGTCATCTTGTCTCGTTGTCTCTCATGTGCTCCTCATGACTTGCCATTGCAGGAGAGTGACTGGGAATAACCCAGATGCTGAAAGGAGGAGTGGCAGGGCTAGGGAGGGAGGCGCAACAACACAAGTTTTGGGATTAGGGGTGAGTATGAGCAAGAAAGTATCCCAGGACCAGAAAGAGAAGGCCATTAAAAGCCATTTATAGTCAAAAAGACACACTTGATCGTGCAAGAGATATAGGAAAGAACTAGTATTTTCTTTAGATAGAGCAGCTCTGAATACTGAGCAAGGAAGATATTTCTTGTTGTTTAACCCTCAGGAAAGCAGGATTTAATGTGCATTTGTTTGTATGCCACAAGATTGTCTCAGAGAAATACCATCCTTTTCTATTGATTGCTTTCTGTTGGAAGAAGTCACAATTTGGCTGGTTGCTGTGGGCGACAGTTGCCAGCAAAGCTCGTTTTTCCTCACTAGCTTCCTGGGTTGGTGTATGCCTGACAATTGATACACATAGGTGACAGTTCACATGCTATTTTCAGCATTCATCACCCATTGATTTTGAAGCAACAGTCATTTACCTGCACAAAAACTGAAATGCTTCATACCCAGTGAAGGTACTTTCGTTGCGCACGGTTATGCTGCGTGCCCAGCGCTCCCACAGCTGCCGCTGGATGCCACGATGTTTGAGCTCACTCCTTGCTCTACTCCTACTGCTCATACCACTCTGTCTTTCTAGCACTTAGGATTCATTAGGTTATAAAGAAGTTACGATTTTTAAAAATCATTTTAAGATCTCTGAATGGAAACATCTTTTACAAGAGCTTTTACATGTTATTGTTATTGAAATGTAACTCTTACCTCAGCTGCCTTTTCAAAATCGCTTTTCCCTTCTGTGCTAAAATTTTCTGGAGCTAGTCTCAGCCCAAAGGTGATTTTTTGTTTCTATTTGAAGTTTTTATCTCCCTCTCCTTCTCACATAGGCAACTGAGTAGGTGTTTAGTATAAGATAATCAAGGAGATGGATGATGGGGAAAAGGCTGAATATTTTTCCTTTGTAAAATTATTCTTGTATTCTTATTCTGAACAGCTCTAGTGGATGGGGTTGAGTCTGTACGGTTTTAGTTAGTCTCAGAAGTGTGCTTTTGAAGCGAATCTCCCAGTTGACCTCACTTACCTTGCTTTGCTTCATATCAGCGAGCAGCCTTGGAGTGCACAAAGTTGATTTCTTTTGAGAGAAACCAAATTATTCCCTAAATTGTGCAGCTAGCGTGCTCCAGCCACTACTGGGCATCCAGTCCACAGAACTAGAACAGAGGTCATCTGAAGCAAGGGTTTGAAGTGTGTATGTTGAGGACTTCGGGTCCTCAGCACCAGCTCTTCTGCTATACAGACCTGCTCCTATTGCACCACATTATTTGCTAATAAGACATTTGGCATAGAGCAGTCCCCAGTGAAGAGCAAACTGGTAAGGGTTCCAGTGAAGCCAACTTTTGCTTTATCTATCTGCATCGTGACTTTGAAAATCACATGGTATGCAAAAGCAGTTCATATTGCACAAGCTTCTTTGCTACGCTAGTAAAATGCACAGCTGCAAAGACTTGCTATTCATGCGTTTGTGGATATCCTGTCCCTACAGTGAGTGTGCATTGAAAATGTGAAGGGATTACAGAGAACTGCTGGAACGTAATAATATTTAAGGAGAGGAATACCTTTCTAATAGGCTTTAGTCTTAGGCTCTGTGCACTTCTTTTTTCTGTTGAGATAACCATTTTGTTTTCAGGTGTACTGTTTTTTAAAACCGAATAATGTTATGTGGGCAAAGCACTAGCTGAAGGTAGTTATACTGGAGTTCTTACAGAGTTATACTGGAGTTCTCATACCTCCTGGTATGGTTTAGTTCTTTCTCTGTGAAGGGACGTGGCAACTTTATACTTACGTATCTTCATCCACACAGGGAGATGACTGCTTTAAGTATAATGACAGACAAATGTTAACTCTGTAACGCCTAAGACCATTTTACACTGGCCTGGCAATGATCCAGGTGATACAAACTGCACTTTGTACTGCTATAATGACCTAGGGGTGCCTGGATTGCAGCAGAGCTTGTTTCAGAATCTGGAATATAGACCTGCTGTCAGTCAGGTTACAAGCCTTTGGAGCCTGAAAGCCCTAATGTTTGAGCTCTCTTCTATATAAACAGATATATTCTTCGTTATAAAAAGGTCTAGGAAAATTCCATTATGGACCTATGTTGAAAGAATAGCAAGACTGTGGAGTTAAATACTTGTAAATGAAACTGTCACAATTTCACATGTACTGCAAGTGCTTGATGACAGAAATATATGGCTCAGGTGAAGAGGGATGGGTCCTGCTGATTCTGTGGCCTTAAATGTTTCCCTTCTGAAGAGGCTTCATTAAACAGAGGAGGTGAAGGAGCTAAGTAAGTTCGTTGTGATATTGCAACAGAGCTCTCAGAAACCTGAGGAAAAAGCTGCCAGTTTCCTCTGGGAATGGGCAAAGAGGAATGAATGGAGCCCAATAGGGTCCCTTTCCAGTAATCCTGCCCTCTGGTACCAGACCGCCCTGTCTCAGGAGCAACAACTACTGATGCTGCGGAGGGCTTCTGCAAGTCTAGGAAGTATCAAAGTAATTATGTGGGGTTTTATTTCTACCTTGCTTTTTCCTCCAGAGAGATCAAATTTATTGATTTGTTCTGTGTGACCTGTGAATACAGTTTCTTCTCTCCTTTAAGAAGACATGGCTTCCTAAGCAGGTCCCACTGCACTCAAGCTTTCCAAAGACAGAGGGTGGTTGTAGATCATGTTTGTACAAGACCTTAGGCACTTGGTAAAATATAGAAGGGAACAGAGGATGTCCCAGCTGGCTTGGATAATAACATCCCCATTTTTCCCACGATTGCTTCAGAGTGCATGGACCTTCTGTGAAGAAGCCTGATAGTATCTCAGAGTGCAACAATGGAAGCTTTGGGATCTGGATGAGCACTGGGTTTATAATCTAAATGTAATTACTGAAAGTAATTTCAGTTCTTCCTACCCAGAGGTGAGGTGGTTTGACATCAGAATTCAAAAATATCCCATTTGGGAAAAAAAACTTGGCAATACAGAACAAAATATCACCAGGGAGATGTTCATATCTCTTGAATATTAACAAAAGCTACTGTTGAGCTGTTGATTGCTCTCCCATGTTAGTTCGCAGTTGCAGCTTATACTCTGAACAATGTGCATGGTTTTTATGATTTGTGTATTTAAAATCTCTATTAAACTTGATTATGCTTGGTGGTAGTTGAAGGGAAAAGAGGAACACTGAATGACGTTCATTTTGGCAGGCTACACATAATTTCATTTTTGTTTGTGACTGGGAGTGGTTTTAAATCTGGAGCTGATTTCAGTTCCAATTGAGTATATTGCTCAGACTACTTTTAGAAAAATCCACTTTGCATAGAAAAAAGCCTTGATTAATTATATAGGCTAGAAACTAGTCACAAGCTTTCAAAAAGTATTTTAAGAGGCATCCACAATAATTCTTCATTCAGCACCATCTGCACCCACCCTTCACAAATTACAAATACTGCTTCACACAATACTAGCTTAAAATCTTTGAATTTTAGATGCATTACAACTTCTAAAAAAGGTCTAATTTACTATATCAGATATTTGAAGTTATTTAATGTAGCTGCAGCCATATTCTCTGGAGTAGGGATCATGAAATAGTCAGTCAGGTTTGCTAGTGTAGACTGGATAGGGCTCATCCAAAAGAGGCATTTAAACAAAGAGAGAGATTTTTTCATTGAAAACTGGATCTTTGACGGTATGCTTTTTTTCATGAAAATACTCTTTCTCCAGGAAATGGCACTTTTTTGACATTTGTGGTTTTCTATCTTTTGATGAAAATTGTA